TCCCTATTTTCTGGGATTTTTAAATTCATGGACTCCAAACTCTCAACTGAAATGCTATTTCCACTGATCCCTAGAAGCGTTGGTATATCTGTAGCTCTCAAATAAAGAAAGGAGGAAGGAAAGAAAGAATCCTAGAATCAAAGAGTTGGAAGAGACCTCCTGGGCCATCATCCAGTCCAACCCCATTCTGCCAAGAAGCAGGAATATTGCATTCAAATCACCCCTGACAGATGGCCATCCAGCCTCTGTTTAAAAGCTTCCAAAGAAGGAGCCTCCACCACACTCCGGGGCAGAGAGTTCCACTGCTGAATGGCTCTCACAGTCAGGAAGTTCTTCCTCATGAAATTGGATCAAAAAGTAATTTAATCCGAATTAATTACAATTTTAGAAGCTTATGAACGAACTTACCCAAGCCTAGTAGCTATTATTTATTTATTTACTTTACTTTACTTTACTTATATACCACTGTTCTCAGCCCGAAGGCGACTCACAGCGGTTCACAACCAATAAAAACAGCAATAATTCAATGCAACATAACAACAGTTAACAACTTAACACATTACCCAATCAATAAACAAATACTACAATAACCAATCACTATCGACTCATCATCCAAAACATAATCCAGATTCGTCATCCATTGTTCCATTCCTATGTTCATTACCGATCATTGCACTAGTTATTCGAACGCCTGCACAAACAGCCAGGTCTTCACTTTTTTGTGGAATACCATTAGAGATGGTGCTAGTCTAATGTCCGTGGGAAGGGCATTCCACAGCCGAGGAGCCACCACCGAGTAGGCCCTATCTCTCGTCCCCACCAACCGTGCTTGAGAAGCAGGCGGGATCAAGAGCAGGGCCTCCCCAGAAGATCTCAAAGTCCTGGTGGGTTCATAGGCAGAGATGCGGTTAGATAGGTAGCTTGGGCCGGAACCGTTTAAGGCTTTATAGGCCAACGCCAGCACTTTGAATTGAGCCCGGTAGCAGATCGGCAGCTAGTGGAGCTGGCGCAACAGGGGGGTCGTATGCTCCCTGCGTTCCACTCCTGTTAGAATCATGGCTGCCGCACGTTGGACTAATTGAAGCTTCTGCGCCGTCTTCAAGGGCAATCCCACGTAGAGAGCATTGCAGTAGTCTAGGCGGGATGTAACCAGAGCGTGGACTACCGTGGCCAAGTCAGACTTCCCAAGGTACGGGTGCAGCTGGCGCACAAGCTTTAACTGTGCAAATGCTCCCCTGGTCACTGCCGAAACCTGGGGTTCCAGGCTCAGCGATGAGTCCAGGGTCACACCCAAGCTGCGAACCTGCGTCTTCAGGGGGAGTGCGGCCCCATCCAACACAGGCTGTAACCCTAGGCCCTGTTCGGCCTTACGACTGACCAGGAGTACCTCTGTCTTGTCTGGATTGTCTTGTATGGTTTTCTGTTGGCAAGGTGCACTTTATCCCACTATCCAATTGATATGACAATAATGTAATACATAAAATAGGATCAGATGGCGAGGAAAGAGGTCTTAATATGGAGGAAGCAACACCAGCAGTTTAAGCTATGTAGATGACATTGAGTTAATTGTAGAAGATTCCTCATGTTCAGAAGGTTTGTGAAGAGAAAGTGGAAAGACACTTCTTGGTTCCGATACATTTTGCAATTGAGAAGAAATCTGTTCAAATTGGGACTAAAATGTTGCCGCCAGTGTCAGGAATCTCCAAAAATGATTCAGGGGCAACAGAAGCAGAATTTGGATATTAAAAGGTGGGGGGACACAACCACACAGAACTATAGCAACAAACAACATATTATCACCCATAGTGCATAATGAGGAATTTATTACATTGTGATGCAACCATTATTTTAATAACACAGGAATTGGTTTGGAACATGGTGACCCAACTGCTCTGCATGGTCCTGGTCCTGGTCCAGCTCCGTTCCACAAGAACCATCAGGAAGGTGAAATTGCGTTATTTGAAAAGGGACTTCATCGCAGACCGATACATCAATTGGCCATAGGATGTGGACAGCAATGATGTTGGGAGCAACCACTCCACCATGGCAGACTGAAACAAAAGCCATAGAGAGAGGAAAGTTAAGCATTATCGCTTTTGGAAAAGTTTGGCAGAGGCAAGGTCACCAGCAGAGTGGCTTAAGGCACATCTACACTGTATTGTCGAAGGCTTTCATGGCCGGAATCACTGGGTTGTTGTAGGTTTTTTCAGGCTATATGGCCATGTTCTAGAGGCATTCTCTCCTGACGTTTCGCCTTCATCTATGGCAAGCATCCTCAGAGGTAGTGAGGTCTGTTGGAACTAGGAAAAAGGTTTATACATCTGTGGAATGACCAGGGTGAGATAAAGGACTCTTGTCTGCTGGAGCTAGGTGTGAATGATTCAACTGACCACCTTGATTAGCCTATAATAGCCTGGCTATGCCTAGAGCAATCTTTTGATGAGAGGTGATTAGATGTTGTGTGCTCCCACAGAAGTTGAGGAAGCAAGAAGCTATCTTGTTCCCTTCTGCTTCAGGATAAGCCTTGTCTTAGAGGGCACTAGAAATCTGAGTAAGTGTTTAAAATTAGCTGCTTTGAGTGTTGCTTTGTTAGAGGGCACTAGAAATCTGAGTAAGTGTTTAAAATTAGCTGCTTGAGTGTTGCTTTGTTTGAGAGGCGGGGCGAGGCTACATTTTTTTTTAGCCAGCACTGCAGGCCAGCAATTAGTGGCCCATTGTTTTCTGCTTCCTTGGAGACTAGGACGCGGAACAATGGCTTCAAACTACAAGAGAGGAGATTCCATCTGAACATGAGGAAGAACTTCCTGACTGTGAGAGCCATTCAGCAGTGGAAGTCTCTGCCCCGGAGTGTGGTGGAGGCTCCTTCTTTGGAAGCTTTTAAACAGGGGCTGGATGGCCATCTGTCAGGGGTGATTTGAATGCAATGTTCCTGCTCCTTGGCAGAATGGGGTTGGACTGGATGGCCCATGAGGTCTCTTCCAACTCTTTGATTCTATGATTCTACGATTCTATGATTCTATGTCCTTGTTTGTTTCCTGCGCAGATTCTTTTTGCACGGTCTGCCAAGGCTTTAATGGTGCACAACAACAGAGAGGAAACAAACAAGGACAACTAATCACCTCTCAACAAAAGATTGTTCTAGGCACAGTCAGGCCATTATATGCTAATCAAGGCGGTCAGTTGAAACATTCCCACCTAGCTCCAGCAGACAAGATTCCTTTGTCCAACCCTGGTCATTCCACAGATATATAAACCCTGTTTCCTTGTTCCAACAGACCTCACTACCTCTGAGGATGCTTGCCATAGATGCAGGTGAAACGTCAGGAGAGAATGCCTCTAGACCATGGCCATATAGCCCAAGAAAACCTTCAACAACCCACTTAAGTATTATGACTTTTGGAAAAGTTTGGCAGAGGCAAGGTCACTAGCAGAGTGGCTTAAGGCACATCTACACTGTTCGACACTATTTCTGTATATGTAGATGACATGGTCCTTCTCTCATATATTAATTTTAGTTCGACTTCTCCACCCAGCAAAAAACACAACCCAAAACTACTTTGTACCCACTTTTCCTATTGTTGAAGACAGGGGAGCTCTTTTCCTATAATTGGACCCAAAGCAGAGCTTTGTTTGGGGAGAAGTTATTGGTGTTCTGGAGCGACTGGGCAGAAAACAGACCTCAAGTCTCAACTCCTTGGGATGTTTCCAAAGGGTTTCATTGACCAGGAAAGTGGGGTGGGTTTTGTTGAGTGAGGAAACGCCTCTTGCCCCCAACTCACCTGCAAGCTGTGGCTGAGGCACCCCGAGGTTCTGTTGGTGAAGCCCACGGTGTTCAAGGCTTTGTGGGCATAGACCTCGGGAGATGTCTTAATGGCCTGGAAGCTGTTGAGCCTGTTCATGTTGGTGTCAACAAACAGTGGTAAGACGCTCTGTGGAGGGAAAGGGAAGCCCAAGAGAAGGACAAAGGTGTGTTCGTTCTCTCGAAACGGGATGGACCAGAGATTATATTCCAAAGACGGATCCAAGGATGGAGGGAGGGAGAAGGCAAGGGCCTGGTAGACATAGAGCTTGGAGCTCGAGAGAAGGAGGAGGAAGAGATGAAGGAAAATAAGATGAAGGAAGAGAAGAGAAGAAGGAAGAAGATAATGAAGGGAAGAAAAAGGACAATGGAAGAGGAGAAGAATAGAAGGAAGGAGGATGAGGAGGAAGAAGAATAAGATGAAGGAAGAGGAGAGGAGAAGGAAGAAGAGAATGAAGAGAAGAAGAAGAAGACAAAGGAAGAGAAGAATAGAAGGAAAGAGGATGAGAAGAGAAGGAAGGGAGAAGGAAAGAGAAGAGAAGAGGAAAAAGAAGAAAAAGAAGACAAAGGAAGAGTAGAAGAGAAGATGAAAGGAGGAAGAAGAATAAGAAAAGGAAGAAGAAGGAAGAGGAGAAAAGAAGGAAGAACAAAGAGTAGGAAGGTGAAGGAAGAGGAGGAAGAGGATGAAGTCTAGAAGATAAAGGAGGAAGAGGAGGAAGAAGAAAAATATGATGAAGGACAGAAGAAGGAAGAAAAGAATGAGGAGAAGAAAAAGAGGATGAAGGAAGATGGGAAGAAAAAAGGAGAAGAAAAGGAAGGTGATAGGGAAGGAGAAGGAAGGAGGAGGAGGTGGAGAGAAAAGGAAGTAGAAGACGATAAAGAAGAGGAGGAGGAAAGGGAAGAAAGGGAAGAGATGAAAAGAAAGAAGACAAAGAAGACGGAGTAGGAGAAAAGTGAAGAAGGAAAGAGAGATGAAGGAAAAGGAGAGAAAAAGGCAGAAGATGAGGAACAAGAAGAAAGCTAATGAGGGGGAGGAGGCAGAGCAAAAAGAGGCGGAGGAGGTAGCAGTGGTAGAAAAAGGAAGAGGAAAAAGACAGAAGAGGAGGAAGAAAGCAAATCAGGAGAAGGAAGGGGGAGAAAAGAAGAAGAAAAAGAAGGAGGATGGAGAATAAAGAGAAGAAAACGGAGAAGGAGGAGATGGTGTAGATGAAAAAAGAAGGAGTTAAAAGGCCATCTCAGTTGTAACATACCTGTACAATGATGCCTTTAGACCTGTATTCCACATTTAACGCCCGTGAGAAGAAATCGACAAAAGCCTGAAAGGGGAAGCAAGGAAAGTGTCGTATGACACTGAACGGTCCCATTGGATCTTTGAAATGGCATTTCCCCTCCCAAATAGTTGGGGCGGTGACCCCATATTCAATTTCACAAGGGTGCTGGGAAACATGAGAAATGGGAACGGGGTCTCTCAAGCAGAGTAATCTATTTGCAGGGCAGAAGCTGAACTGCCCTGCTTGGTGTTTGTCTCACCTTGCTGGAGCTGTACAGCGCAGCCCAGGCCGTGGGTCTCCAGGCACTTGCGGAAGACATATTTATTATAATCCCCTTCTTCCTACAAAGAGATACATGGTGTGTGTGTGTGGGGGGGGGGGGTGTTAGAGGTCCCGTTCACCCTACAGCTGTCCAAGTCCAGCTATAGACTCTTCAAAATGCTGCGAAGGCAGGAAACATGTCTTCTCCTTAATGTGACCAAGAGCCCAAGCCCAATGCAGTCACTGTCCCGTGGTGCCTCTTGATGTTTCCCTGTTGACCTGCTTGGACTGCAACACCCAACATTCCTCACCTCTATTGGAAAAACCAGGGAATAGGCACGTGATTTATAGTTCCTCTATCACAGTGGTTCTCAACCTTTCTAATGCCGTGACCCCTTAATACACACACACACTTGATCTTAGCCAAAAGGCCGAGAAGCGACCCCTTAATACAGCGCCTCACGTTGTGGTGACCCCCAACCATAAAATTATTATTATCGCTACTTCCTAATTGTAATTGCGTTACTGTTATGAATCATAATGCAAATATCTGAAATGCAGGATGTATTTTCATTCACTGGACCAAATTTGGCACAAATACCCAACAACAGCACTCCATGCTGTCATGTCAGCCACACGACCTTGGTAGAGTTTGGGGAAAACAGACCTTGGCATTTGGGAGCTACTGGGATGTATAGCTCCCCTGCCATCAAAGAGTTCAGAAGAGTGTGTGGGGGGCAGAAAGGCTGTGCTCATGGCAAGGCCGTGAGCTCAGCCCTCCGCCTCGCCCCTGCACCCTTCCGAACTTGGAAAGGCACGGGAGTCGGGCAGAAAGGCTGCACTCACTTAAGGCCGTGAATGCAGCCCTCCGCCTTCCCCCCCCCCCCGGTGCCCTTCTGAACTCGGAAAGGCGCGTGGGGTGGGCAGCCCTCTCTTCCCCAAACGGCAAGGGTTGGCAGCCATTTTGGCGGGGACAGGGCCAACCAAGGCAGCTTCACGACCCCCCGAGAATGTCCCAACGACCCCCCTGGTGGTCGCGACCCCCAGGTTGAGAACCGCTGCTCTATCACGTCCTCCCGATGCTGTGAATTGGAGTGATTGTCTCAGGGCAAGCTATTAAATCAAACCAAACCTTGCAGAGTCTTTTATCAATAGTCAGCAGAGATTGACTGCACAGCCTCTGACCTTAAGCAAACACTGGTTTTCATCCAAACTCTCAATGGAGGCTTTAATCTTGACTCCTTGCTTATGTTCAACTATACACTGTTCCCTCACTTATTGCGCGTGTTACGTTCCAGGACCACCCGCGATAAGTGAAAATCCGCAAAGTAGGGACAAGGAAGAGAAGGAGGAAGAGGAGGAGGAGGGGGTGAGGGGGAACCAGGCACTGGACCTTACTCTGGGACTTGTCTCTGGGCTGGGCCTCAGCGCGGCCCTATTCAGCAGCAGCTTCCTCCTCCTCACCGCCTCCGCGGTTCCCTGCTCCTTCCTCGGAGGCCTCTTAGGCGCCGTTGACACCATTGCCAGGGCGGGCTGAGGCTCCGCACCCAAGGGATAAGGAAGTAGGGCCGAGAAAGAGGAAGAGGAGGAAGCAAGAGGTGGGCTTTACCCTAGGCCTTGTCTCAGGGATGAGCCTCGTTATAACCCTCTTCGGCGGTGGCCTCCTTATTGCCTCCGCTGCTCCCGGAGAAAAGCCTCAGGGTAAAGTCCTTAAGAAATCCAAGGCTTTCTTTTGAAAACTAAGAAGAGTGGTATTTGTGTCCCCCCCCCCCCAATTTTATTACTTTTTTAAAAAAACAAAAAACTTCCTCATAGATGACAAGTGGAAAAACCCGTGTGTAAAGAAGACCGTTTTAATGCCACCGAATGCCACCAATTGTGAAGGAGTGTGGTTGAACTTACTGCCACCTAATCTGTGAGGAAAGCCGGGCAACAATCAATTTCAGCTTAGGAGCTATTTTATAAAGGGACTATTAATTACAGAAGGCTTTATTCATTTGATAGCGTAGTGCCCACTGTCCCTGGCTTGACCTTACTTCTTATGTAGGCTGTTTGTCTTGAGAGAAACTGTAACAGGCAAGGCTTGAGGAAAACAGTAACAAGTTTATTTTAACAGGAGTATAACATGTTTAACTGTTTCTTCACAAGAGGCACAAATCTTGACTGGTTACATTAGTAAGGTTTCATGAGTAATCTCAGGCACAGACTTCAAGAGGTTTCTATAATTTATTTATTTATTTTATTTATTTATTTACTTCATTTGTTGACCGCCGCTCTCAGCCCTGGGGCGACTCGCGGCGGTGTACAACATGTAAAAACAGTCTACAAAAACATACAATATAAGCAGATGTAACTCTTCTGGACAACTGTCCTAATAAAACAAATAAGCTAAAAGGCTTATTAACAGAATTGGCTCCCAGCCAAACCTTGATTCTTAACTCAGAATCAATAACCCCCTGTAGTTATATCACTACTGGGTCCTTTTCTGTAACCCCTTTGGTCACCAATTAATTCCCTGAATCTCCACCCAGAGACTCAGTCTTCTCAGTAGCTCACCGGCTTACTGACTGACTCTTTTTAAAAAGCTGCGTCGTGAAGAGGCAGTTGGCTCCGCCCCTGTTGCTATGGCAACCCAGCTAACGCCAAGCCACCATCTCCAACAAAATATATTCCTTCATACTTACCATCCATAAACTACTGTTTAAACAACACATAAACATGAGAATAAAAGTTACACATCGTCACACCGTGAAATAGTGAGTCTACAATAAGCGAACCACGAAGTAGCAGGGGAACACTGTATACACATCAGGACTCCCTGATTTGCTATCAGTATATACAGGGATGTACACACAACCGATACAGTGACAATCCAGTGAGAAGTGTAGCAAGATAATCCTAGCAAGAGATGCATGGCAAGACAAGCACGTGGCGAGAGAAAAATGCACATACCGGCTACTCCCTTTTCTACCCACAGCTCACCCCAACCTAGGCTTGGAACTGTCAGCCTTTCAATTGGTAAGATCTATTGCTGCTGGTGATTAACCAGCTGTGCTAAAGCCCAGCTAACAACATCTGGTTTCAGTGGAGAGGACTAATGGGTGTTGCAACCTTACAACATCTACAGCTTTCCCCTGGAAACGGAGAGCCCTCTTTGTCTCCTACCTGGTGACCATTTGAGGAAGGATGGCTTCCGTCATCTGCAAAGAAAGAGTAATCTCAATTGAGTTCTCGATTGTCTGCAGTTTTGATTAATCCACATCCAACAAAGTACGTCCCACAAAGCATTTCAACAACAACAACAACAACAACAACAACAACTTTATTTTTGTACCCTGCCACCATCAACCCGACTTACAAATGGTACAAAGTGCCTAAACCAGAGCATAATATGAACCACAAAATACAATAAAATAAAAACATATGGCATACAAAACAACAAATTAAAAACAGTGCACAATAACCTATGGTGACAAGCTACCAAAGAACATGGCCAGACTGTAAACAAAACATGAGGGATGTTGCAACTCAGAGTAAGCTTCACCTTGCTTCCAAACCCCACCACACAAGAGCTATAGTTTTATAGTTCATTGAGGAAAAAATCCAAGTCAAAATAAAGAATAAGCATTGCAAAGTTCCAAAGAATAAGGTTAAATGCAGAACATAGTTCCAAAGACCTTCAGGTAAAAACAGGAGACACAATCCTATTGGCAAAGTTCAAACCAGAGTCCCAGGTACAAGCAATGAAACAATTGCCCCATGAATCACAATGCAAGAAATCCCAAGCGTACTGCTTTCCAGGCTAAGGTTATTCCATGAAGCTTCCAGGCTAGTAAGCTACGTTGAACTGACGCTTTCTCAGAGTTTGCAAAAGGCCTAAATACCTTTCTAGCATGAAAACATTAGGCTCTCATCATCATAAAAGCATTGCGACAACCTTTCACCGAGCTGGCTTCTTGTCTGCTGGCCACATGAGGACTCTGCCTGACCCGGACATCAAGGCGAGCTTGCCAGGTCAAGTCACTATCTATACTTTCGGTATCAGCATGGGAAGGCACCTGCTCGCTATCTCCTTCGTTAAAATTCCTTTCTAGTGGAAACGGCTGTGTTGACACTGCACTGTCTGTGGGAGCCTCAGAAGCAGTCTCAGAGATTTGAAGCACAGACAAAGAGCCAGGAAGCTGAATCCCAGCAGGAATCTGAATCCCATCATCCTCATCGTCAGAAAATAGCTCAGCCACAACAAGGGAGTGAGATAGTGCAAAATTGTAGCCATGGAACAAGGACATGAGAAGAATTCTGATATTTTGTAGGTTCTATATGCAAAGACAGAAACCAGGTTGCATTCCACCTACCTTCAGGGTTGAAAGGATGTTGCAATTCACCACGTCGTTTATGTACTAAAAGGAAGGGGGGCAGAATAAGGTTTGGTATTAGTTTCGTTTATGCAAGTATGTCCTCTCCAGGCACTTTCTAGGTCCTCCAGCCCCATACTGCTCTCTGGTTCGAGAGCAGTACGTGTGAAAAAGATCTTGGAGTCCTCGTGGACAACAAGTTAAACATGAGCCAACAATTTGATGTGGCGGCAAAAAAAGCCAATGGGATTTTGGCCTGCATCAATAGGAGCATAGTGTCTAGATCTAGGGAAGTCATGCTACCCCTCTATTCTGCTTTGGTTAGACCACACCTGGAATATTGTGTCCAATTCCTGGGCACCACAATTCAAGAGCTGGAATGTGTCCAGAGGAGGACGACTAATGATCAAGGTCTGGAGAACAAGCCCTATGAGGAGCGGCTTAAGGAGCTGGGCATGTTTAGCCTGAAGAAGAGAAGGCTGAGAGGAGATATGATAGCCATGTATAAATATGTGAGAGGGAGCCACAGGGAGGAGGGAGCAAGCTTGTTTTCTGCTTCCCTGGAGACTAGGATGCGGCACAATGGCTTCAAACTACAAGAAAGGAGATTCCATCTGAACATGAGGAAGAACTTCCTGACTGTGAGAGCCGTTCAGCAGTGGAACTCTCTGCCCCGGAGTGTGGTGGAGGCTCCTTCTTTGGAAGCTTTTAAACAGAGGCTGGATGGCCATCTGTCAGGGGTGATTTGAATGCAATATTTCTGCTTCTTGGCAGAATGGGGTTGGACTGGATGGCCCACGAGGTCTCTTCCAACTCTTTGATTCTACGATTCTATGATTCTATGAAAGTTTTTCATCCTGACGTACGTAGACGATATAGTGCTTTTCTCCCTCTCTCAGTTGGGTCTTAAAACCCTTCTGAAGGTTTTCAGTACCGACAGGCAAGAGGAATATTTGTCAATCAATTACTCCAAGACCAAGATTAATGGTTTTTGGCAGAGAATTCCCCAGGTATAAATGGTCTTTAGACCAACATGCCATAGCATGGTGATTAAGGTGGTCAGCTAACTGAACCTACTCTAAAAATCTTCAGTAGCAACATGTTGGCACAAACGCTATATGGTGCACAAATCTGGGGATTAGATAATAACACTTTATGAAAAAGATGAAAGTCACCTTATCAATGTCGGGGGTCCGCAGGAAATCTAACGGCATCACCTGGTTCGTGCCAACGTTGTTCACTGGAGAAAGACCAAAAGACCAATCAACCGGTCCCAAATCTCAGATCCATGATTAAGTGACCAATTGTGTTGCACTTTAAACACTGCGCTGAGTTTGCACTGCCACTTTGGAGCTAGTTACATATATTATTGTTTACAAATATTCTACTTCCATGTTACCATTGATACCATTTTTGCTGCTATCGATAATTTTTCAAATACTTTTCCCTTCCATTATTACACAAGTGCACTTTATCACCTTCAATACACTGGAAGGAGTAGGTAACATTAAGGGGTGGGAACATCAGGACCCAACTGTATGTAACTATACTCGGCACCAAGCAATAGTACATGGAACAACAACAGATGGAAATGGAGGGTATGTCCCCGGGGGGGGGGGGGGTCTATGGGTGGGGGTGCCACCATAAGGGTGGTGACAGGCAGAGGGAGATACGGGAAAGGGAGATCAAAATACTCAGTTCGGTCCAAAATTTATAATAATAGATTGGCAATCCTAAAAGATGTTAACAACTCAAGGAAAAATCAAATCAGGCCCAAAATTTACAGCAGAACATTGGCAGTCCCAAAAATCAATACTACAATTCGGCCTGAAATTAACAAAGATAAATTGGCACTTTTAAAACTTTCTCCCGACAAGATACAACTGAGGTGCCAGGATGGTGGTCCCTCCAGGTTAAAGGTGGTGCTGTTCAACGCCAGGTCGGTAAACGGAAAAACCTCTATTATTAAAGATCTAATTCAAGAAGAACAAGCTGACTTGGCTTGTATAACGGAGACCTGGTTGGACGAAGGGGGGGGGTTAATCTCACTCAACTCTGTCCACCGGGTTACTCTGTGCAGCACCAACCAAGACTTGGAGGGCGGGGAGGCGGAGTCGCAGTTGTCTATAAGGATTTTATCCCCCTGATCAGGCGTCCCATCCCACAGTCATCTGCATTTGAATGTGCCGGCTTTAGGATAGGTGACCGGGACAGGATAGGGATTCTGCTAGTGTACCGACCACCCCGCTGCACTACAGTCTCCTTACCTGAGCTAGCAGGAGTGGTCTCGGACATGGCATTGAGCTTCCAATGGCTTTTAGTCTTAGGAGATTTCAATGTCCATGCCGAGGACTCTCTCACTGGTGCGGCTCAGGACTTCATGGCCGCCATGGCAACCATGGGCCTGTCCCAATTAATATCTGGTCCCACCCATAGTGCCGGGCACACATTGGATTTGGTATTTTCCCAAGGATGGGATGGGGGTGACGGGGTGGAGGAGCTGACCATCGCTCCTTTGCCATGGACCGATCACCACTTGATCAGGTTTAGACTAACTGCGCCTCCCAACCTTCGCAGGGGTGGTGGACCCATTAGAATGGTCCGCCCCAGGAGGCTTATGGATCCAAATGGCTTCCTGATGGCTCTTGGGGATTCTCCCACCTCCTTGGCCAGTGATTCTGTCGATGTCCTGGTCTCTCACTGGAACAGTGAGTTGACCAGGGCCATTGATACAATCGCTCCGGAACGCCCCCTCTCGAACAGCAGAGCTAAACCAGCTCCTTGGTTTACTAAGGAGCTGGCAATGAAGCGAGAGGAGGAGGCTAGAGTGCGTGTGGCATCAGAGGCCAAATCAGCCCAAACATGTCTGAATACTTTTTTAAGGTCCTACGACATGGCAATAGCGGCGGCACAAAAACTATTTCTTGCTGCCAATATTGCATCCGCAAAGAATCATCCAGATGAACTATTCCGAGTTGTCAGAGGACTATTAAATCTGCCTAAGAGCAAGATCCCTGACGACTCGGTGGCTCGCTGTGAAGCATTTGCTCATTTCTTGGATAAAATTGAGCGGATTCGGTCAGGTTTTGACGTCATGTTAACGGCGGTCTCTGGGGATGTGACGAGAGCATCTGCTTGTCCAGTTTTGTTGGATTCGTTTCAATTGGTTCAGCTTGAGGATGTGGACAGGATCCTTGGAGAGGTGCGACCCACCACATGCATCCTAACCCCTGCCCATCCTGGCTAATAAAAGAAGCCAGAGGGGGTTTGGCAGAGTGGGTGAAGGTGATGGTTAATGCCTCCTTACAGGAAGGAAAATTTCCAGCGAGCTTAAAACAAGCTGTTATAAAACCGCTGTTGAAGAAACCATCACTGGACCCCACTCAATTTGACAACTTTCGGCCAGTTTCCAATCTCCCCTATTTGGGCAAAGTCATGGAACGTGTGGTGGCGACTCAACTCCAGGGGTTTCTGGTAGACACTGATTATCTAGATCCGGCACAGTCTGGCTTTAGGCCGGGACATGGTACTGAGACAGCTTTGGTCGCCTTGGTAGATGATCTTCACCGGGAAATGGACAGGGGGAGTGTGTCCCTGTTGGTTTTGCTGGATCTCTCAGCGGCCTTCGATACCGTCGATCACGGTATCCTTCTGGGGCGCCTCAAGGATATGGGGCTCGGGGGCACTGCCTTGCAGTGGCTTCGATCCTTTCTTGAGGGACGGTCCCAGAAGGTGTTTTTGGGTGACACCTGTTCGGCCCCACAACCGTTGTTGTGTGGAGTCCCACAGGGTTCAATCTTGTCCCCGATGTTGTTTAACATCTACATGAAGCCGCTGGGGGAGATCATTCGGAGTTTCGGAATGAGATGTTATCTCTATGCAGATGATGTCCAAATCTGTCACTCCTTTCCACCTTTCACCAAGGAGGCTGTCCAGGCCTTGAATCGGTGCTTGGCTGCTGTGTCGGACTGGATGAGAGCTAACAAATTGAAATTGAATCCAGACAAGACAGAGGTCCTACTGGTCAGTCGTAAGGCCGAACAGGGTATAGGGTTACAGCCTGTGTTAGATGGGGTTACACTCCCCCTGAAGACGCAGGTTCGCAGCTTGGGAGTGATCCTGGACTCATCGCTGAGCCTGGAACTCCAGGTCTCGGCGGTGGCCGGGAGAGCTTTTGCACAATTAAAACTTGTGCGCCAGCTGCGCCCGTACCTTGGGAAGTCGGATCTGGCCACGGTGGTCCATGCTCTTGTCACATCCCGGTTAGATTACTGCAACGCACTCTACGTGGGGTTGCCTTTGAAGACTGCTCGGAAACTCCAACTAGTCCAGCGAGAGGCAGCCAGATTGCTCACCGGGGCGTCATACAAGGAGCATACCACCCCCCTGTTATGTCAGCTCCACTGGCTGCCGATTCAGTTCCGAGCACAATTCAAGGTGCTGGTTTTGACCTATAAAACCCTACACGGTTCCGGCCCAGTGTATCTGTCCGAACGGATCTCCCTCTATGTCCCACCCCGGAGCCTAAGATCTTCTGGAGAGGTCCTGCTCTCGACCCCGCCTCTATCACAGGTGAGATTGGCGGGGACGAGAAGCAGGGCCTTTTCGGTGGTGGCCCCCCACCTGTGGAATTCACTCCCCGGGGAAATTAGATCTGCAACATCGCTCCTTTCTTTTAGGAAAAAACTAAAAACATGGATCTGGGACCAGGCATTTGGGCAGGCGGGCAAATAAAGAAAGAACTTTATTGATGGCTAGGAAATGACTAACGGACTGGACATGAGGAACTCTGGAAACGAAACGCTGATTATAAGAATGATCTTGATGATATTTTATATAATGTGTTATGCACCGGTTGTTGATGTTTTAACTGTGTTGATCGTTTAATTACATTTTGTATATTGTTTTTATATTTTTGTATACTATGTATTACTATGTATAGGCATCGAATTCTGCCTTCTTTGTAAGCCGCCCTGAGTCCCCCTCCGGGGGTTGAGAAGGGCGGGGTAAAAGTACCAGAAATAAAAATAAATAAAAAAAGGTACGCACTCGCATTGGTAAAGAACTTGGAGAGGTTTTCAATGGAAATACACTTAGAACAGACATGGGCAAACTTGGGCCCTCCAGGTGTTTTGGACTTCAACTCCCACAATTCCTAACAGTCCAAAGCACTTGGAGGGACCAAGTTTGCCCATGCCTGATGTGGAATGAATGTGGTTTGGCACCACCTTAACTGCCATGGGAGAGCCATCGAAACCAAGGGATTGTCTTTGTCCCGCCATCCAAGAACGCTTTCAAGGGAACCATTCAAGTTGGGAGTCAATAAATGGAAATCCCAGTTCTCAAACAGAAAATATGAAGGCATAATTTACCCAAAACACCAATCTCCAATCCGTGCAGAGTTTTGTGGATAGATTCGTAGATTTCGGAGCCACCTGTAAAGTCCGCCTGGATCACTTTGGTGCTCCGGCCATGGAGTTGCTCTGCGGAAAAGGAAAAAAGAGATGGACGTGCCTCAGTTTCCCCATTTAAAAGGAGCCAAAAGTGTCAAAAGAAACAAACCCAAATCCAGTGAAAAGTATCCCAAATGCATCTACACTGTAGACTAGAGCAACGACGTTTTGCAGCCAATTAAAAAATGTACAGAATGCATCCTGAAAGCTGTTTCCAACGCCTGCACTCTCCACCTGTTTTTCTGCGGTACATTTTTTGCAAATGCAATATTGGGAGAATATTAAGACACTGAAATGATTTGCAGAGCCAATGTTAACAATTAAATTGATACGTCAGTCCTTGTCTCACCGATTTCATCAGCCACTTGCTTCAGCTTTTCCATGGAGCGGCTGACCAGGACGACATCGAGACCTTTCTTGGCAAGCTGGAAAGGAAAAAACAGAGTTAGAAAAGTCATGGCTGCATCCACACCGTAGAAATGATACAGTTTGACACCATTTTAATTGTGAGTAATCAATGCCATGGAATCTTGGGTGATGTAGTTTTTCAAGGGCCTTCAAGGGCAACCTCTGTCATTGCCTGCCTGAAAATCATTGACCAAACCATCTCCATCTTGTACCTCAGCCTCAGCACCATCATGTCTCTCATCATTTCCCTCATCATTTCCCACATCAGGATCCTGAAATACAAGCATAGGCTGATTCCCGACATTTACCTGGAATCACACTGTGTCCAATTTTGGGCACCACAATTGAAGGGAGAGATTGGCAAGTTGGAATGTGTCCAGAGAAGGGTGACTAAAATGATTTGGTGGAATCCTCCCACCAAAACCCTCCTCCTCTGTGATTGGCCAGCCTCTTGGCCACCTCTCAGCCAAGGGGAGGGCTGTTTCTGAGAGTCCAAGTGGGGAGGGGAGAGTATGAGAGGTGTTCGGTGCATGAGGGTGTGGTGCGCATGTCCGCATGAGGGAGAGAGTGTGAGGCTGGAGGGAGGCTTGCACCAGCAAGTCCCTTCAAGGCATGGGGATTCTGAGAGCAATGGCCCATCTCGATCAAAGAGTGAAGAGCAGAGACACCACACTGGCAACAAAGATCCGCATACTTAAAGCAATGGAGTTGTCAGGGGTCTGTTAAATCCGCCAAAAAGCGAGATCCCTGACAGCTCTGGAGCTCGCTGTGAAGCGTTTGCTCGATTCTTCGCAGATAAAATTGTGCGGATTCGGTCGGTCTTCGACACCACTTTACCTGCAGTCTCTGAGAATGTGACGAGAGCATCTGCTTGTCAGGTTTTATTGGATTCGTTTCAATTGGTTCAGCTTGAGGATGTGGACAGGATCCTTGGAGAGGTGTGACCCACCACATGCATCCTAGACCCCTGTCCATCCTGGCTGATAAAAGAAGCCAGAGGGGGTTTGGCAGAGTGGGTGAAGGTGGTGGTTAATGCCTCCTTACAGGAGGGCAAGATTCCAGCGAGCTTAAAACAAGCTATTATCAAACCGCTGTTGAAAAAACCATCACTGGACCCCACTCAATTAGACAACTATCGGCCAGTTTCCAATCTCCCCTATTTGGGCAAAGTCCTGGAACGTGTGGTGGCAGCACAACTCCAGGGATTTCTGGTAGACACTGATTATCTTGATCCGGCACAGTCTGGCTTTAGACCGGGACATGGAACGGAAACAGCCTTGGTCGCCTTGGTAGATGATCTTCGCAGGGAACTGGACAGGGGGAGTGTGTCCCTGTTAGTTCTGCTGGACCTCTCAGCGGCCTTCGATACCGTCGATCACGGTATCCTTCTGGGACGCCTCAGAGACATGGGTCTCGGGGGTACTGCGTTGCAGTGGCTCCAGTCATTTCTTGAGGGACGGTCCCAGAAGGTGTTACTGGGTGACACCTGTTCGGCCCCACAATCGTTGTCGTGTGGAGTCCCACAGGGTTCGATTCTGTCCCCAATGTTATTTAACATCTACATGAAGCCGCTGGGAGAGATCATTCGGAGTTTCGGAATGAGATGTTATCTCTACGCAGATGATGTCCAGATCTGTCACTCCTTTCCACCTGTCACCAAGGAGGCTGTCCAAACCTTGAACCGGTGCTTGGCTGCTGTGTCGGACTGGATGACAGCTAACAAATTGAAATTGAATCCAGACAAGACAGAGGTCCTACTGGTCAGTCGTAAGGCCGAACAGGGTATAGGGTTACAGCCTGTGTTAGACGGGGTTACACTCCCCCTGAAGACGCAGGTTCGCAGCTTGGGAGTGATCCTGGACTCATCGCTGAGCCTGGAACCCCAGGTCACGGCGGTGGCTGGGAGAGATTTTGCACAGTTAAAGCTTGTGCTCCAGCTGCGCCCGTACCTTGGAAAGTCTGATCTGGCCACGGTGGGCCATGCTCTGGTTACATCGAAAGATTACTGCAATGCGTTCTACGTGGGGTTGCCTTTGAAGACTGTTCTGAAACTTCAACTAGTCCAAAGGCCGGCAGCCAGACTGCTCACCGGAGCATCATACAGGGAGCATACCACCCCCTGCTGTGTCAGCTCCACTGGCTGCCGATTCAGTTCCGAGCACAATTCAAGGTGCTGGTTTTAACCTACAAAACCCTGTACGGTTCCGGTCCAGTGTATCTGTCCGAACGTATCTCCCTCTACGTCCCACCCCGAAGTCTGAGATCATCTGGGGAGGCCCTGCTCTCGATCCCACCACTCTCACAAGTGAGGCTGGTGGGGACGAGGAGCAGGGCCTTCTCAGTGGTGGCTCCTCACCTGTGGAACTCACTCCCGGGGGAAATTAGGGCATCAACATCCCTCCTCGCCTTTAGGAGGAGGGTGAAGACATGGTTGTGGGACCAGGCCTTTGGGCACTCCAGCAATTAAAGCAGACATTCAGGCGAGTAAGACCAGCAGGACTGATGAAGTGGAACAGGAAACTAGAACTATGAATGAGCAAACGCTGACCATGTAAAAGGAGAAATTGGGTTTGTATGGGGTTTTTATTGATTTTATGGGAATAATGTATGAATTTATGTATGAATTGTTGTTAATTGTGATTTGATGTAATTTTGTGTATACTTGTTTTTATGATGCAGGCATCAAATTGTGCCTTTGCTACTGTAAGCCGCCCTGAGTCCCCTTCGGGGTGAGAAGGGCGGGGTAAAAGAACCCCAAATAAATAAATAAATATTCCCCGTAGTAACCTATGGATGCAAGAGCTGGACCATAAGGAAGGCTTAGCGAAGGAAGAAAGGCACTTTTGAACTGTAGTGCCCTGGACTGCAAGAAGATCCAACCAGTCCATACTCCAGGGCTGGAGGTTTAGCACAGCTAGTAAACCATCAGTAATTATCTGAACGAATAAACAACAAACATGTTATCATTTTAATTGTTATGAAGAAAAAAAAAGAAAAAAAAAAGAATTAAAGAAAAAAAAGAAAAGATAGAATAAAAAGTAATGCCTCCATCGTCGTTAGATGGCAGTACTGGTATGCGGCAGGTACTGGCTTGTTCAGTAGACACTCCTCTACAGTTCCACTTTGGCAGGAAGCCTTAGTAGAAAAAGTAATGCCTCCACCTTCATAACTCCTCAACAGATGGCAGTACTGGTATGCGGCAGGTACTGGCTTGTTCAGTAGACTCTCCTCTACAGTTCCATTTTGGCAGGAAGACTTAGCATTGAACGGTTGTGTTGTTAAAGTGCGAAGTATGGACCCTGTGTAGACTGTCAGTCAATGCAACTTGAGCAACGTATGCGGCAGGTACTGGCTTGTTCAGTAGGCTCTCCTCTACAGTTCCATTTTGGCGGGAAGCCTTAGCATTGAACAGTTGTGTTGTTAAAGTGCAAAGTATGGAACCCTGAGCAGACGGTCGACCAATGGGACTTAAGCAACGTATGCGGCAGGTACTGGCTTGTTCAGTAGACTCTCCTCTACAGTTCCATTTTAGCAGGAAGCCTTATGATTGAACAGTTGTGTTGTTAAAGTGCAAAGTATGGAACCCTGAGCAGACGGTCGACCAATGGGACTTAAGCAACGTATGCGGCAGGTACTGGCTTGTTCAGTAGACTCTCCTCTACAGTTCCATTTTGGCAGGAAGCCTTATGATTGAACAGTTGTGTTGTTAAAGTGCAAAGTATGGAACCCTGAGCAGACGGTCGACCAATGGGACTTAAGCAACGTATGCGGCAGGTACTGGCTTGTTCAGTAGACTCTCCTCTACAGTTCCATTTTAGCAGGAAGCCTTATGATTGAACAGTTGTGTTGTTAAAGTGCAAAGTATGGAACCCTGAGCAGACGGTCGACCAATGGGACTTAAGCAACGTATGCGGCAGGTACTGGCTTGTTCAGTAGACTCTCCTCTACAGTTCCATTTTGGCAGGAAGCCTTAGCATTGAACGGTTATGTTTTTAAAGTGTGAAGTATGGAACCCTGCGCAGACGGTCGGTCAATGCGACTTAAGCAACGTTCAGTCATTGAATTCTTGACAGCAGAAGGTGTCACCCCAAAGGAGATTCATCAGAGAATGCGAGCTGTTTAGGGTGATTGTGTTGATGTGAGTACTGTGCTTCGTTGGGCGAGTAAGTTTAAAGATGTTGAGGTGAGAACATCTGACTTGTGTAACAAAAAAAGAGTTGGATGTCCTGTGACAGCAACCACCGAGTTTCACAAGCAAAAGCTTGACAGATTGATTCAGGACGATTGTTGCATCTCTCAGAGAGAAATTTCAAGCATAATCGGCATTTCACAAGAACGTGTGGGTCACATTATTGGTTTGCTTGGCTATCAGAAGATCTGTGCACGATGGGCACCCAGGATGTTGATGCCTGAAATGAAAGCACACAGACTTGAAACTTCAGAGACTGGATCTCTCCACTATAAGATATCCTCCATACAGTCCAGCCTTAGCACCATCTGTTCCCGATAATGAAAGAAGATCTGCAGGGACATCATTATGCTTCTGATGAAGACGTTGAGAGAACTGTGAGACGCTGGTTGCGGAAACAGAGTGTCGACTTCTTCCGCGACAGCTTCAGAAAACTTGTTCATCGAAGGCAGAAATGTATCCAATTGTCTGGTGATTATGTGGAAAAGTGGATAGTGGTTGTTCATCGAAGGCAGAAATGTATCCAATTGTCTGGTGATTATGTGGAAAAGCAGATAGTGGTTGTTCATCGTTGGCAGAAATGTATCCAATTGTCTGGTGATTATGTGGAAAAGTGAATAGTGGTTGTTCATGGCCCGGCATTATTTCCAATTTTAAATCTACATTTGGCCTTCCCACTGTTTTTAATTATGAGTTGCTTTTTTGATAATGTTGTGTATTTTATTGTCTATGTTTTTTAATTGCTTGTATTGATGTTTTATTGCTTTTGTTGTTGTGTTTGGGCTCGGCCTCATGTAAGCCGCACCGAGTCCCTTGGGGAGATGGTAGCGGGGTACAAATAAAGTTAATAATAATAATAATAATAATAATAATAATAATAATAATAATCGTTGGCAGAAATGTATCCAATTGTCTGGTGATTATGTGGAAAAGTGAATAGTGGTAGTTAAAGAACACATTCTAAGGATTATTTCTGCATTTGATTTATTAAAATATTCCCATCCAAACCCAAGTAACGCAGGTGGAGGCATTACTTTTCATTCAACCCAAATAATAATAAATTGACAGTGTTGGTTCCTGTATCATTGTGTAGTTCTATTGCAGAAACTTTGTTTTTGTGCTGCAAACTATGTTGAATCAGTTGAGACACAATGACATATTCATTGAAAGACTAGAGCACAATGTGCTCTGGCACGATGTCCCTTCTGCAAAAACAAAGTTTTTGCAGTTTAATAAACTTTTCCTGTGTTTTCATTTACAACCCAGGAACAAAAATTGTGTTGCATAGTGTTATTGTTATTGTTGTTGTTATTTGTATCTCCCTTTTCCTCTCTTGACTCAAAGCAGCTGCTCACCTCATGGGCGTAAGCTTTTCCAATGCCGGATGTTGCACCGGTGACCACTGCAAAAACAAGAAAAGGGATAGGTTAGGAGTCCTGCAATGACTAACTACCTGCTTGCTGGACTGTAATTAAAAGTTGCTAATAAGAACTGAAAAGTAAAATTTGACGCACCGGTGACCACTGCACTCACAAGAAAAGGGACAGATTAGGATTTATGCATTGATGCAAATTTTCAAATTCTCATTTTAATATCCAGAGATTCCCCTCAAGTTTTGTCATGAAAATATCATTGCAGATTTGATAAATGTGGATTTAATGATGTGTGGGAATGAATGGAATAATGGAAGAGTGAATGAGTGGAGCTAATCATTTTGGAGACACCAATTCTAAAAGACAAGTCCTGCAATGACTAACTATCTGCTTGCTGGACTGTAATTAAAAGTTGCTAATAAGAACTGAAAAGTAAACTTTGTCGCACCGGTGACAACTGCAAACACAAGAAAAGGGACAGATTAGGATTTATACATTTTTTGTCAAGAAAATATCATTGCAGATTTGATACACGTGGGTTTAATAATGTGTGGGAATGAATGGAAGAATGGAAGAGTGAACAAGTGGAGCTAATAATTTTGGAGACACCAATTCTAAAACACCAAGTTATGCAATGACTAACTACCTGCTTGCTGGACTGCAATTAAAAGTTGCTAATAAGAACTGAAAAGTAAACTTTATCACACTGGTGACCACTGCAAACACAAGAAAATGGACAGATTAAGATTTATGCATTGATGCAAATTTTCACATTCTCATTTTAATATCCAGAGATTCTCCCCTGCCCAAGTTTTGTCATGATAATATCATTGCAAATTTGATAAATGTGGATTTAATGATGTGTGTGAATGAATGGAAGGGTGAATGAGTGGAGCTAATAATTTTGGAGACACCAATTCTAAAAGACCAAGTCCTGCAATGACTAACTACCTGCTTGCTGGACTGTAATTAAAAGTTGCTAATAAGAACTGAAAAGTAAAATTTGACGCAGCGGTGACCACTGCACTCACAAGAAAATGGACAGATTAGGATTTATGCATTGATGCAATTTTCAAATCCTCATTTTAATATCCAGATATTCCCCCCAAAGTTTTATCACAAAAATATCATTGCAGATTTGATAAATGTGGATGTAATGATATGTGGGAATGAATGGAAGAATGGAAGAGTGAACGAGTGGAGCTAATCATTTTGGAGACACCAATTCTAAAAGACCAAGTCCTGCAATGACTAACTACCTGCTTGCTGGACTGTAATTAAAACTTGCTAATAAGAACTGAAAATGTAGCACTGGTGACTACTGCACTCACAAGAAAAGGGACAGATTAGGACTAATGCATTGATGCAAACTTTCAAATCCTCATTTTAATATCCAGAGATTCCCAAGTTTTGTCACAAAAATATTGCAGATTTGATAAATGTGGATTTAATGATGTGTGTGAATGAATGGAAGGGTGAATGAATGGAGCTAATAATTTTGGTGACACCAATTCTAAAAGACCAAGTCCTGCAATGACTAACTACCTGCTTGCTGGACTGTAATTAAAAGTTGCTAATAAGAACTGAAAATGTAGCACCGGTGACTACTGCACTCACAAGAAAAGGGATAGATTAGGACTTATGCATTGATGCAATTTTTCAAATTCTCATTTTAATATCCAGAGATTTCCCCCAAGTTTTGTCAGGAAATATCATTGCAGATTTGATAAGTGTGGATTTAATGATGTGTGGGAATGAATGGAAGAATGGAAGAGTGAATGAGTGGAGCTAATAATTTTGGAGACACCAAGAGTGAATGGAAGAATGGAAGAGTGAATGAGTGGAGCTAATAATTTTGGGGACACCAATTCTAAAAGTCAAGTCCTGCAATGACTAACTACCTGCTTGCTGGACTGTAATTAAAAGGTGCTAATAAGAACTGAAAAGTAAACTTTGTAACACCGGTGACCACTGCAAACACAAGAAAAGGGACACATTAGGGTTTCTGTATTGATGCAAACTTTCAAATTGTCATTTTAATATCCCGAGATCCCCCCCCCCCCCAATTTTGTCCCTTGCAAAATAGAAAACAAAGGGTGTGCCTACACTGTTGGAATTAATGCAGTTTGGTCCTAATTGAACTGCCACGGCTCAATGCGATGGGATCTCGGGAGGAGCAGTTTGGAAAGATTCTATTTGTGCTTTGCCAAACCACAACTGCAAGGACTTGTTTTCTCTGATTTGGGGGAAAGATACCAAACTTGGCAAGAGAACTGAAAGCAGCTGCAATTTCAGGTTTTGCATGGGATGCTCCATACTCACCCACTCAACATTTGCAATAACAGGTCACGCAACATTTCAGTTGTGCCAATCCTTGACACCATTTGAACGGTAACGGCTTCGTGATATGGAATAATGGGAGTTGTAGTTTGGTGGGGCACACGAAAAACTTTGAAAAACTACAACTCCCAAGGCTCCATGGCACGGAGCCGAGGCAGCGAAAGTGGTGTCAAACTGCATTCATTCTACAGTGCAGATGCCGCCAAGGACTAGTATCTGTAACATTGAAACTTGCCATCTTGACCTTTCAGAGTCTACATTAGTCCTGATTTGAGGTGCATCTATGTTGTTGAATACTAATACTACAACTACTAATTAAATATTATAATTAAGAATACTAATTATTAGAATATGTAATTATTCCTTGAGACATAAGGACATAACCAGCCACATCTTAACACGTCTCAACAAAAGATTTTCCCAGGCTCAGCCAGGCCTTCAAATGCTAATGAAGGTGGTCAGTTGAAACATTCACACCTAGCTCCAGCAGAGAAGAGCTCTTTGCCCCACCCCAGCCATTCCACAGATATATAAACCCTTTTTTCCTAGTTCCAACAGACCTCACTACCTCTGAGGATGCTTGCCATAGATGCAGGCGAAACGTCAGGAGAGAATGCCTCTAGAACATGGCCATATAGCCTGAAAAAACCCACAAGAACCTAGTGATTCCAGCCATGAAAGCCTTCGACAACATATTTAATAATAATAATAATAATAATAATAATTATTATTATTATTATTATTTATTGGAGCCCCCGATCACGCAGTGGGTTAAACCACTGAGCTACCAAACTTGTCGACCGAAATCGCAGGTTCGAATCCAGGGAGCGGGGTGAGCTCCCGCTGCTAGCCCCAGCTTCTGCCAACCTAGCAGTTTGAAAACATGCAAATGTGAGTAGATCAATAGGTACCGCTCCAGCGGGAGGGCAATGGCGCACCATGCATTCATGCTGGCCACATGACCTTGGAGGTGTCTACGGACAACGCCGGCTCTTCGGCTTAGAAATGGAGATGAGCACCAACCCCCAGAGTAGGACATGACTGGACTTAATGTCAGGGGAAAACCTTTACCTTAATAATTTATTATTTACTGCCCTCTCCTTATGTCTCAAGGAAGGCCTTAGCCACAGTGGTCCAGGCTCTTGTTACATTCCGTATAGACTACCGCAATGTGCTCTACGTGGAGCCGCCCCTGAAGACTGTCCAGAAGCTCCAAATAGTCCAATGGGCGGCAGCCAGATTCCTTACTGCATTGGCGTACAGGAAGCGTACAACTTCCAGTCTGCTGCCAGTCTGCTACCAGGCTCAATTAAAAGTACTGGCTTTGGCAGAAACAGGCATCTCATTATATGCAGTGAAATCCTGGGATTTGTAGTTCAACAAGGTCTTGAACCTTCTATACCCAGAAAAGTGTAGGTACCTCACCATACTACAACTAGGATGGAATGCCATTGAGTTGGAAATGCAAAAAGAGGCATCGAATTACATGCAATGGAATCCTGGGAGTTGTAGTTTAACAAGGTCTTGAACCTTCTATGCCCAGAAAAGTGTAGGTACCTCACCACACTACAATTCCCAGGATACCATTGAGTTAGAAATGCAGAAACAGGCATCTCATTACATGCAATGGAATCCTGGGAGTTGTAGTTTAACAAGGTCTTGAACCTTCTATACCCAGAAAAGTGTAGGTACCTCACCATACTACAATTCCCAGGATACCATTGACTTGGAAATGCAGAAACAGGCATCTCATTACATGCAATGGAATCCTGGGAGTTGTAGTTTAACAAGGTCTTGAACCTTCTATACCCAGAAAAGTGTAGGTAACTGACCATACTACAATTCCCAGGATACCATACCTCACCATACTACAACTAGGATGGCATACCATTGAGTTAGAAATGCCAAAACAGGCATCTCATTACATGCAATGGAATCCTGGGAGTTGTAGATTAACAAGGTCTTGAACCTTCTATACCCAGAAAAGTGTAGGTAGTACCTCACCATACTACAATTCCCAGGATACCATACCTCACCATACTACAACTCGGATGGCATACCATTGAGTTAGAAATGAAAAAAAAACAGACATCTCATTACATGCAATGGAATCCTGGGAATTGTAGTTTAACAAGGTCTTGAACCTTTTATACCCAGAAAAGTGTAGGTACCTCACCATACTACAATTCCCAGGATACCATACCTCACCATACTACAACTTGGATGGCATACCACTGAGATAGAAATGAAAAAACAGGTATCTCATTACATGCAATGGAATCCTGGGAGATGTAGTTTCCCATGGGGCCATAGAGTGTGAGTATGTCACCAAACTACAACTCCCAGGATGGTCTAGCATTGAGTTAGAAAGGCAGAACCGGACATCTCATCACATGCTATGGAATTCCTGGGAGTTGTAGCTCAGCAAGATCTTGAGAAGTCCACACCACCAAACTACAACTCCCTGGATCTTCTTAGCATTGAATCTCAGCAGCCAAAGTGGTGCCGAACGCATGATACAGTGCAGAATAGATACGCCCTTGGGGAGTCTATGGAGCGTGTTTGCACTCACCTGCCCAGGTGCCGTAATGGGAGAAGTCCACCGCTTTCCAATACTCGGAGAGAATGTGGACCCGGACCTTGAACCAAAGGACCCAGGAGGCTCTCAGGAGCACCCAAAGGACGATGAC